TATATATATATATATATATATGTCAGTTTATTTTTTTTAAAACTTCGATGCACATAACATTTTTTTTTTCATTTTTAGTAGTTTATAGAGAAATCTCCAATGTATGAGAACGTTATTTCCGATACACTATAAAATAAAAATACTCATTATGGTCTAGGGTGGTATTATAATTAGATGACGTTCGGGGTATTTAAATAAACTACGTTGGCTTGCATCTGATAGTGGAGATGTTAGCAAGTGAAATTATTTAGACTCTGAGGCTAATCTAAAAGGAAAAATATAGTCGTCGATATCTTTCTTCAGATATGAAAACTTGAATATATAAACATAGTATTGCGTTTAAACACAGCAAAATAATATTATACTTGAACACAACATATACTATTGTACTTTAACACAACATATAATATTGTACTTAAACACAACCTATGTTATTTTACTTGATAACAGCATAATAGTAGTGTATTTGAACACAATATGTAATATTTTACTTGAACGCAACATATAATATTGTAATTAAACACAACTTGCAACATTGTACTTTAACACAACATATAATAGTGTACTTACACACAACCTATAATATTGTACTTAAACAAAACACATAATATTGTACTTAAGCACAACACATCATACTGCACTATAGTACTTGAACACAGCATGTAACGTCACATTTATGTACGATATAGTAATGCACTTTGAAGAAAAAAAATGCAGTTGCTGCTGTATATTTCTACAGTGCCTGGCATCGATGGCATGAGCCAGTGGCCGATGATAAGTCGTGGGCGTCGCTCCACTCGTCGCGAGTTCGTCTACCACATCTGGCCGTCTGGTGACGGAGCGATACGTGTTGGTGACTTCAAACTGATCGTCGGGAAACCAGGTCAGTCAACTGTGACTGCCTCTAACCCGTGATAGCAATTTGGTGTGTTTGTGTGGGGGGGCAGGTATACATACATACGATATCTAAAATAATACCAATCTGCGAATTGTTTACCAGATCTAGGCGTTCCTTAACATCTGCTAGAATAGAACTTTCTTTTTTTTTTTAAAATTTGTCCTTAAAAAAAAAATTAAAAAAATAGTTTTTTCAAAGTAAAAGATTCTGAGAATTTCCCTCACAAAAATGCGAACAAAAGTAAAACTTAAGATCAATCAATTTCTCAAAAGGAATTCAACACAAAAAATTTTTCTCAAAGCCTTGCAAAAATTATCAGCTTTAATATAACAGAAAATAACGCATCATGCAAATTAATAGTTATCTATCTATCTATCTATCTATCTATCTATCTA